AGGATTTGGATCTGGTGGAAAGAAGATTTGAGTGGAAAGCAACTTGGGGAAGGCTAGAGATCAAGATTCATATGGTAGGAATGGAATATCTTGGCCTCAACACATGAGTAGGTAGTTCTCTCTCAGAAAATGTATGCTAGAAGTGTAGGTTCAGTCTGATGGCTCTCTCCACAAATGAAGAGGAGGTGGAGGGGTATATTTAGCCTCCACACAAAATCTAACCGTTACACACAATCTTCAAACTCGGTGGGACCGAATCGTTAAACTCGGTCAGACCGATTTAGCAAATAATGTGACCGTTAGGATTTTCGGTGGGACCGAAATGCAACTCGATGAGACCGATATGGTTAGGGTTAGGGCATAACGTAATCTCGATAAGACCGATTACACAAACTCGGTGAGACCGATTTTGGTAATGAGCTTTCCAGAGAGTTGGTCAGGCAAACTCAGTTGGACCGATTACACAAACTTGGTGGGACCGATTTTGGTAATGAGTCAACCAGGAAGTTTGCATTGTAATCTCGGTAGTACCGATTGCTCAAACTCGGTGAGATCGATTTTGGTAATGGACATACACAGAGAGATTCAATCCCATCTCGGTGAGACCGAGATCCCTATCGGTAAGACCGATTTGCTTAGGATTTGTGGCAGTGGCTATGACATGCAAAATCGGTGGCGCCGGATAGAAAGAACCGGTGTGACCGATTTTGGCTTTAGGTTTTAGGACATATGTGTGGAAGTGGGAAAGCAGTTGAGGGTGTTGGAGCATATCACTAAGCACTGTGGAGCAAGAAACTCATTAAGCAACACCTCATCCCTCCTTGATAGTATTGGCTTTTCCTATAGACTCAATGTGATCTGAGATCAGCAAAATGGAAAATAAAGAGTCTTGAGCTTGAAGCTTGAGCCAATCCTTTGTCCTTAGCATCTTGAAGGAGTTCCCACATCCTTTAGTCCATGTCACTCCATTGTTGAACTTATCTGAAACATACTAGATAGAGGTGTTAGTCCAACAAGAGATATGTTGACATTAATCACCAAAACCACCTAGGGGGCACTTGTGCTTTCAAGGAGGAAAATGTGGAGGGGGGTTTCGGTGCCGACCGTTGGCTTAAATAGCCGGCTAGGCAGTACGCGGCCCGCTAGAGCAGCGCCACGCGGCGACATCGGTCCAACGGAGGAGACAAGGTTCAGACCGCCGGGTTTCAGACTATTTTCGTGTGGGACCCCAGCGTCAGTCCGACATGGCGGGCTCCGCTCCATATTTGTTCTAGATATGAGGGGTGCTGGTCAACTCAGGCGTTTGAGGCCCGTTTGAGGCGCCCGTCTGAGCCAAAATTTAGTGACCGGTCAGTGACCGGGCGGCCCGCCAGGACGTATGAGACGAATTTAAAGCGTTCGGCTGTAGATTTATTATATATAAGCCAATTTTTTGCATACGTTTAGAAAAAGGGACCGGGAAGCACTTTGCCCAACATCGATTTTGGAAATGGGGGGGAGGGGTTGTTGATGAAAAATTTGAAAGAGTAACTATGCATTTTTTTAGAGAAGTTACTATGCAATTAAGAGGGTAGGGAGTAACATACTTTGACCCGCAAGCTGGGATAGAGTTGATACAATCACATGGGTGTCCTTACATCTAGTGTTTAAAACGGAAAATGGCCAATTTCAAAAAAAGAACATGTCTAATCTCCCGTTTTCACACAAAAAAAACCCATCTTGGCATACTTGTTTGGTCCCCAAAACACGACTTTGACCAAAACCTAATAAAGCTCCAGACATACTACCTCTGTCCTGGTTATAAGTCCCCTTTGTATTTTGTGTCAAATTTTAACTAAAAATTTAACTAACAAAATATAAATGCATGTCACCAAAAATTATATTGTTGGATTCGTATTTGAATATAGCTTCCAATTATATTATTTATTATTTTTTTGTGGGGAAATTATATTATTTATTATGATATGAATTAACATTTTGTTAGTTAAATTTAAGGTCAAAATTTGACGCGGATTACAAAGGGGACTAATAAAGAAGGACGGAGGTAATAGTGTCCAAATAGTTTTGAGACAAATTTGTGCACATAGTTTTAAACATTACTGCACGTGTTAGCCAAAGCCATGCCCCGTGTCATTTCCGTTTGACTCTGACATGAGGCGATGCACCATGGCAGAGAGATCTTCAGAGGAAGATACGTACATGACCGAGGAAGTCAGTGCGAGGTCATCGAACGCATCACGCAAAAAGCAGATACCTGGCAGAGGAAGAAGCGAGGAACAACAGCTTACCACCGGCAGGCAAAATCTATCTATCAATCTCGGAAAAGTAGACGGGAGGGAGAGACGGCAGCAGGGTGACGTCGCAGAGAGGGACAGCTGAGGCGGTCACCGCAGGGGAGGTGACGGAAGGAAGAGAGAGCCTTTTGTCGGCCTCCCCGGCCGTCCGCGTGGAAGAAAGAAAAGGCAGCGGCAGCGAGGCATATTCGTCCCCCACTTGCCCGGGCGATCGGCGTCCGGAAAAAGCCGCGTTCGCCGCACGCTCCACCGGCCTCCGCTGGCGACGAGACCATCGGCTGGACTGCTGAAAGGGTTGGCTCCTTTTCCCTCTGCTCGGTTCCCACGTCCCAGCTCTGCTGTCAGATTAGATTACAAGATCGAGGTGGGAACGCGCTACGATCTGATCAAGCCAAGCCAAGCCAACCCAATGCGTCCAGCATCATTGGAACGCAATTAACGTCGCCTTAACAATGCCCATAACCGTTCCGTTCCGTTCCACGGGAACGGAACAGCAGAAACCACAGCCAGGCTGAGGCAGGCCGACGCGGTACTTAGAGCATCTCCAACAGCCGCGCTAAACTAGCGCCGCGCCTCAAAATAGGCGTTTTTAGCGCGCGCGCAACGCGTCAGGGCGCTCCAGCGGGCGCGCAAAAACGACGCGCGCGCTAAAACGGGTTGGGCGCGCGGGCAAAAACACTTACCCGCGCGGCGTATTTCGGGCGCCCACTACAGCGCGCGGCACACTCGAGCGCTCGCGCCCGCTCTTTCTCTCGCGCTTCCACCCCCGACCGGCCGCGCCGCCGCCGCCGCCCGCGCGCCCCGGCGACCGTCTCAGGCTTCCCCGGCCTATCCCCGCGCGCCCGCGCTTCCGCCCATCCCCTCCTAGTACCGCCGGCGCCCGCGCGCCTCCTTCGTCCAAGGAACAACGCCCGAGCGCTCGCTGCCGCGCCGCGCCCGCAAGGTGTTTGACAAAACGCCTACAAGGTATGTATTGCTCAAACTTCATGAATTTGGTGCATGTTTTGAATTGTAGTTTTTATAGTATAGTATTGAACATTGTAGATGAGTTCGTCGTATGATTCTTCCGAAGAAGAATTTGATATGGAAGAGGAGGAGGATCTTGCAATGATCGTAGCTATGCATATCAATAAAAAACTGAAGCACGGTGGTTCGGTTATGGGCCGGGAGAAAATTTGGACAGATAGGATTGATGCCCATAACAGATTGATGAAGAACTGTTTCGTGGAGAATCCCACATACCCGGAGTCGTATTTTCGTCGCCGGTTTAGGATGAGCACTGAGTTGTTCAGGCGCATTGCAGAGAAACTAGCGAGCCATGACCGGTTTTTCCAGCAAGAGCTCGGGCATAGCATTTTTCTGAAGGTGACAGCCGCTTTGCGTATGTTGGCATACGGTATCCCGGCTGATCTAGTTGATGATCATTTGGCTATAGGTGAGAGCCAAGCCATCATGTGTGTCAAGCGCTTTGCAGTGGGAATTGTGCAAGTGTTTGGCGAGGAGTATTTGAGAGCTCCCACTGTTGAAGACGCCGCAAGGCTATTGGCGATGAACAAAGCGCGCGGCTTTCCTGGCATGCTTGGCTCAATAGATTGCATGCATTGGAGTTGGAAGAATTGTCCAAAGGCATGGCATGGGCAATTCCACGGCCAAAAAAAGGGTTCCACTATAATCCTTGAAGCGGTGGCCGATCAGGAGACTTGGATTTGGCATGCATTCTTTGGAATGCCTGGATCTTTGAATGATATCAATGTTCTCAACCGGTCACCACTGATGAATAAGATTGCAAACGGTGAGTTGCCACCTGTGCAGTTTGTAGCAAATGGCCATACATACAACTATGGCTATTATCTAGCGGATGGCATCTATCCAAAGTGGCAAAACCTTCGTGAAGCCGTTGAAAAAACCGAAGGTAAGAAAAATCTTGATTTCCACAATGCTCAGGCGGCGGCTAGAAAAGATGTGGAGAGAGTATTTGGGATTTTGCAAGCCCAATTTGCTATTGTGAGAGGACCGGCAAGATTTTGGGATCAACAAATGTTTTGGTACATCATGCACGCTTGTGTGATCATGCACAACATGATCATCGAGAATGAGCGTGGCCAAGATTTAGACTACTCACAGTATGAGCTCTTGGGACATCCCGTGCGAGTGCGGCGGAGGGCTGAAAGGGTAGCCCGTTTTGTTGCCTCCTATCATGCCATTCGGCGTCCCGCAACGCACAATGAACTTCAGAAAGATCTAATTGAAGAGTGGTGGGCATGGCATGGACGACAAAGAGCATGAACTTCATGAACTATTTGTTGTGTTGTAACAATTTATTTTGAACTATTTGTTGTTGTACTGAACGATAAACTATTTGTTTGTGTTGTAATGATTTATTTTAAACTATTTGTTATGATTTTTATTTTGTTTGTTTGCTCATTTTTGCTCATCTTCTTGCAAATGTATATGTGATTTGTGCGGCGCGCGCTGCATTTTTGCGCTCTGCTGGAACAGCGCGCGCGCTGCATTATAGCGCCGCTGCTGGAGCCAGCGCAGGCGGGCGCGCAAAATCAACCGCAGCGCGCGCGTTAACAGGTTTTTTGGGCGCACCGCTATAGCGCGGCTGTTGGAGATGCTCTTAACGCCCAGCAATACGCCCGCGCCCGCTCCGCTTCGTTCTCTTCGCCCCGGTTGAGTAGGCCGAGAGGGAGAGCGAGACCCATGCTCGACACCGCGACGCCCCGCAGTTTCCGACCCAGCCTCCGCCGCTCGTCGCCACCGGTGGCCGCCGCCGGACCAGCTCCCGGCCCCGATCTCCTCCTCCCGAGCCAGCGCCCGTCGGGGCCGCGCCGGTCGCGCCCCGGCTTCCTCCTCCTGCCCCCGGAGATCCATTCGGGTAAACACTTCTCTCCCTCCCTCCTGGCTTACCTTCCATAGGCCCGATCGATTTCGCGCCCCCACTAGTCCGCGCCGCGGGGAATTGGGCCGAACCCGTCGAGGGACTCCGCATCCGCCTCTCGCCGTCGCTGGATTAGCCGTGAATTGCCTGATGTCTGCGCGTGCGCAACTGGTGTCGATACGGTTGGTTCCTCCGCCGCCCATGATTTCGCGCGGGTCTGGTGGTCGGTTGGTGCTGACGGATTGCGCTCCTAGGAGTATGGGAACGATAGAATTGTTCGAGATTCATGCTCCTGTCTGTCTGTCGGTTCGCGTGTCGGTTTTGGTGCTCGTATGGTTCGTGGGATGGACATCGCCTAGTTTCTCCCATTTGTCCTTGCGCTGCTGAAATTCTCTGTGTGCGTGTTCATCGGAAAACACGATCCATTCGTTCATTGTTAGGTTCTTGTGTTTTCCCCCGTTTCACTCTACGGTAAATTGTGCGGCAAAACTCCGAACCGTGTGTCACTGGTTTAGTTTTCTATGGAAAATGGAACGGGGGCGAGGCCAGCCCCATTGAAGGAAAAATTGGGCGGCTACCTTGTCAAGGGGAGGGTGGATCATCCCCAGTGAAAATTGCATTTGTGGCACCTCTGCCAGTTACGGGATCAGTGGATTAGTGGTGAATGTGATAAGATTCGACCTTCTTCAAATACCCCTTCTCCTCTCGCAAGAGATTTTTAGGTTGTATTTCTTCTCTATTGTGGATGAACTAGAGTTATATAGTTGCATTTCCTTCCCATTCCACTACAATTCTGAGTAGGCTATCGCAACTGTAACTATGAATTTGGGCTTTCAGCTTTGTTATTTCGTTCCAGCTATTGCAACCAGAAAATGTTACTCGGCGGAGGTTTCTTAAGGTGGTTGTTTAGCTGTGGGAGTAGCACATTTCCCATTTTGCCAGTTTCTTTTTTTTAGGGAAAGCCTTCATGGCGCTCCCATTTCTCCAGTTAAAAGGGCTGAAATCTCTTGTGGGCTGCTTTCTCTTTTTAGTGTATCTTTGTTTTGCTTATATATATAGGATTCGTATGTATGCATGGTATGTATGTACCTTTTCATCTTAATCTCCATGTACTTTTTCTAATGCACAATAAAGTCTGCTGGTTTAGGCCAACTGATTTTGTCCGCTTTTTGTCCGTTTGGCTCGGCTAGGCAGACACCAATGTCTGTTTTTGTGCGCTGGCCTGTAGGTGCGCCCAACGCGGACGGACGCACTTCACATTTGCATTCGCTTAAGGACAGATTTTGAATATATTTTTAAAAAATAAAAGGCAGCAAGTCCAGTTTTCATTAATTAAAACTAAAAATATTAAATAAAAACAGCTAGTGGTGGGCGGTAGATCTAGGTGGCATCGGCGTCGTCCTCCTTGGTCATGGTCAAGTCGACGTAGACTGGAGCCTCCATCCACGGGAACGCCTGCTGGAAGGCTGCCAGCACTGTCGCCTGCTGCTGCTCCGCCTGCCGCTCAGCTTCCATCTCACACTCAGCCGCATGCCGCTCGGCCTTCGCCAGGTACTGCTTGGCCTCCTTGTCGTCGTGCCCACCCACACGGCCGGGCACGAGACGTACACCGGCACCATGCTCGGCCACAACCACGTTTGCGTAGGCTCAGGCGTGGGCGGTGCTGGCGGCCGTGGGGGCGCGTTCGCTTGCATTCCGGCCGCCAAATCGGCCAGCGCCTTCTCAAGGCCAGGCCACCTGGCGAGCTCGTTGAGCTCGGACTCCTTGATGGCCCTCTTCTTCGCCTCCTCGAGGGCTCACATGTAGGCCTTCTCCTCCTCCTCCTGATCCTCCTTCACCACCACCGGCAGCGGTGGTGAAGCGGGTGCATGGGGCGCATGATCGAAGGACAACCGACGTTGCTCCTCGTGCTCGGTGGCGAACCATGCGTCTTAGTTTGGCGAATCCACTGCGTATGCTGGGTCGCGGCAGAGGTCGGCCAGGAGTTGAGCACGGCGGCGGGTGGTCTGAGGTCGGCATCGCCGGCGTCGGAACCCTATCGGGATTGAGGTGCCACCTGTGCAGCAGGTTCACGTCGGGCCACGGCACCGACACACGATGCTCCCAGAAGTACTGGCAGCGGTGCACCGACATGTATAGGTGAAAGCATGGCCATGGTTCAGCACCTGGCAGCGCCATGCTGAAGTTGGCCGGGCTGCGTCACCCCGACGAGTTGCCGGTCTCGTGATCATTCTTCCCGAACCCCATGGTGGCGGCGACTAGGCTGGGTTGTCAGGCGGATGGGGGGCAACAACAAGAAGAGGATTAGGGAGGAAAGCATTAAAAAGGACGGGTGTGGACTGGTTTTGTTGGCTGACGTGCGGGCCCAAGCGCACACGTGGAATTTAATAGGACCGGTGGGTGGTGGTTGGGCGGCCAACGTGCGGGCCTGAGGCAGACACCGACCGGACGCGCGGCACGTTTCTCTTGTGTCCGTGTGGACGCAAATTGGGCCCAAATTTGGGGCGAAAGTCCGTCTGAGACGGGTTTGCGTCGGCGCGTTGGGCCGTGGTTTTTGGTCTCGTGGCCCCAAATGGACCAAAGCGGATGAAATGGGTTGCCGTGTTGGAGTTGGCCTTAAACACCCTTGATGAATGGGTTGGAGTTTACTTTTGGGTTCATATTTACTGGCTGTATTTTGTGGAAAGAGGCTAGCTGATAAGTTGAATACCTTAATTGTTCAAATCATGTCAAATTCTGGTACTTACTAAGTCACGGCTGCACTAACTGTACATACCTTAGTAACAAACAGCACAACATTTTATTGGCGGCATTGAAAGCGGATGGGGAATTACTTTACTCTTTTGTTAGGTTCAACCTACATTACGTTCAGGTTTCCATATGAGTTGCACCTGCACTATGTATTCTCATTCCTGTCTTTGATGAAAAGTTAGCTCAATACAAACTATTATACAACGGCACCTCGCAGATCCCAATCCAGCCTCCGCCGCCGCCGCCGCGGGATCATCCCTCGGCCTCGGTCTCCTCCTGAGCCAGCCGTGGTCGGGGCCGCGCTGGTCGCGCCCCGGCTTCCTCCTCCCCTTGCCAGATCCATTCGGGTAATACTCCTCTCTTTCTCCCTCTTGGCTTCCCTAGGCCAGATCGTTTTCGCGCCCCCTAATCCACGCCGTGGGGAATTGAGCCGAACCCGTCGTGAGATTCCGCGTCACACTGTTGCTGGATTAGCCGTGAATTGCTGGTTGGTGCTGACGGATTGTGCTCCTCAGGAGTACGGAAATCATGGAATCGTTCGAGATTCATGCTCCTGTCCGTCGGTTCGCGTGTCGGTTAGGTGCTCGTACGGTTTGTGAGAAGGACATTGCCTAGTTTCTCTCATTTATCGCGGCACTGCTGGAATTTTTTTGTGCATGTTCGTCGGAAAGCGAAGGGGAGCCTTGGCGCAGTGGTAAAGCTGCTGCCTTGTGACCATGAGGTCATGGGTTCAAGTCCTGGAAACAGCCTCTTACAGAAATGTAGGGAAAGGCTGTGTACTATAGACCCAAAGTGGTCGGACCCTTCCCTGGACCCTGCGCAAGCGGGAGCTACATGCACCAGGTTGCCCTTTTTTTTCGTCGGAAAGCACGATTTATTCGTTCATTGTTAGGTTCTTGTGTTTTTTCCCCATTCCACTCTACGGTAAATTGTGCGGCAAAACTCTGAACCTGTGTCACTGGTTTCGTCTTCTATGGAAAATGGAACCGGAGCGGGGCCGGCCCCTGTTGATTGAAGAAAATAAATTAGGCGGCTACCTTGTCCAGGGAGGGAATGTTAAACAGGTGTATACACGGTGTTGTGGATCATTCCCAGTGAAAATTGCATTTGTGGCGCCTGTACCAGTTACAGGATCAGTGGATTAGTGGTGAATGTGATAGATTTGGCCTTCTTCAAATACCCCTTCTCCTCTGAAGAGATTTTTAGGTTGTATTTCTTCTCTGTTGGGGATGAAATAGAATTTTATAGTTATATTTCCTTCCTATTCGGTAGTCACTACATTTCTGAGTAGGCTATTGCAACTGTTACCATAAATTTGTGCTTTCGGCTTTATTATTTAATTCCATTGTATTTCCTTCCTATTCGGTAGTCACTACATTTCTGAGTAGGCTATCGCAACTGTTACCATAAAATTGTGCTTTCAGCTTTTTATTTAATTCCAGCTATTGCAAGTTTGCAACCGTAAAATGTTACTCGGTGGACGTTCTTAAGGTGGTTGTTTAGCTGCAGGAGTAGCACATTTCCCATTTCCCCAGTTAAAAGTGCTGAAATCTCTTGTGGGCTCTTTGTAAATCTATCTTTGTTACTCAGCTTTCATAAGCACACATGGTATGCATGTACCATTCTTCTTAATCTGCGTGTACTTGTTCTAATGCACAATAAAGTCTGCTGGTTTAAACTCATTTGATGAATGGGTTGGAATTTACTTTTGTGGAAACAGGCTAGCTGATAAGCTGAATACCTTAATTGTTTATATCATGTTAAGCTCAGGTACTTACTAAGTTCATATTTACTGGCTAGTATGGTGTGGAAACAGGCTAGCTGATAAGCTGAATACCTTAATTGTTTGTATCATGTTAAGCTCAGGTACTTACTAAGTCACGGCTCCACTAACTGTACGTACCTTAGTAACAAACAGCACAACATTTTGTTGGTGACATTGAAAGAGAATGTGGAATTACTTTACTTTTTTTTGTTAGGTTCAACATACATTACCTTCAGGTTTCCATACGAACTGCAGTATTCCCGTTCCTGTCTTTAATGAAAAACTAGCTGATACAAACTATTATAGTTACCTTCCTAGTTTAGAAGTTAGCTGGAGCATGCATTGCTGCCTCTGTTTGATTTGTTTCTGTTTATTTATTTTGTATTAGAAGGAGCACACAAACTCTGCACGCAGATTACAGAGCCAAAGCCATCAACGGTGGTGTTATCCAAAAACAAACAACAGGCTGCTAAGGAAAACAGAGTAGGCCTAATAAAAAAGCGGAAGGTGGAAAAACAATCTACAGTAGTGCAAGAGCTACTCCCTCCTTCCCAAAATCTAAGGCACATAAGTTTGATCCTAGTCAAACTGTGTTAAGTTTGGGAAAAAGGGAGAAGTTGCCTCATTCCAGGAAGTAACACAATTGATCGTTGTTGCTAGCACCTTAGTATCTCAGAATTAATCCTTTGATCAGATTGGTTTAACTTTATGTTTTAGCTCAATAATCCTTAGGCCGCATTTGGAAACTTGGGAAAAAAATGTACTCCCTCCGTCCCATAATATAAGAACGCTTTTGACACTAGTAGTGTTAAAAACGTTCTTATATTTTGGGACAGAGGGAGTACAACCAGATGAAATCTGCAATACCTTAAAAAAAAATTAGGTGGTGGTGGTGGGAGTTAACTTCCCACTCCACCCCAATCTCCCTCATCTATCTAGAACCCACCAGACCTGTCCTGTTTGGAAGAGTTCACTCCCCACACTATCGCATCTCCCTCATCTATCTAGAACCCACCAGACCCCTCCTGTTTGTAAGAGTTCACTCGCCACGCCATCCGCATCTCCCTCATCTATCTAGAACCCACCAGCCCCTCCTGTTTGGAAGAGTTCACTCGCCACGCTATCCGCATCTCCCTCATCTATCTAGAACCCACCAGAACCCTCCTGTTTGGAAGAGTTCACTCCCCATGCCATCCGCATCTTCCTCATCCATCTAGAACTCACTAGTCCTCTCCGGTTTGGAAGAGTTCTCCCCACTCCACCCAATCTCCCCTACTCATCTAGAACTCATCAGACCCTCGGGTTTGAAAAAAAAATCCATAAATAAAGAACTAAAAATTAATGTACTTGGAGTCTTGAACCTCATACACGCCTGTAGGTACGCCTTTTTTGTTTGTTTTATCATTGTTTTAGAAACTGTAATACCATAGATTTAGAAGGGATTCAACACTTGAGCTACATTGTTGATCGAATAAAATATAAAAAATTGGCTCACGTTGTACCTAGTGCTTACCATATTTGTTTGCATGTCGAGGGTCACCATACTTCTTCTCACTAGTTATTGCATTGATCCTAGAAATAGAATATGTGGTAATTGAGCCAATTTCCTGTTCGTTTTGTGAACTAACTTGTTTCATTTTATCACGAGTGTACTCATTCATATGTGTTCATGGACACTCATATTTGGGCACAAGCTTTTATTAGTGCCATGTACATGGCAGAAGCCTGGCCAGATCTTTTCACCAATTGATGTGTTTTTGTTGATTTTCAGGATTTGATAATAATGGGGGAGAGCAAATGGATGGGAAAAAGATGGGAGGAGATGGATACTGATGTTCTCGTGAAGATATTTAAGGAGCTAAACTTGGTTGAGCTATCACCAGTATCTCAAGTTTGCCGCTTATGGCGTTTGGCCTGTTCAGATCCACTTATATGGGGCACTCTTGACTTTGGGCTTCTAAAATCCAACTTCATTCAAACAAGAGCATCTCCATATATTTGGGTTGATGACAGGTCTGACAAGAGGCTTGCAAAAATACTACGGGTGGCAATGGCAATTAGCCGTGGAAATGTTAATTGTATGATATTCCATTACAATCTGTACATGAAAGATGAACACCTGCATTACATCTCACAAAGGTAACTAGTCTTTGCTACGTAGTTTTATTTATGTTTTGTTTCTGTATTCCGCTATATTAAATCTGCATTACATCTCACAAAGGTTGCTTTAATTATGAAGCTCGTGTGCCCAATGAGCTTCGTAATCAAAGCAACCTTAAGACATTAAATTGGTGAGGGGTTGAAATATTATTGCCTTTAATCTTCATGGCTTGCACTGCCAGTTTTGAAGATTATCTGTGTAGCCAATGAATCTATAATAGGTCCAAGGAATGTTTTTTAAGTTGAATGGATGGTTTTATATCATTGATCATATCTTGACAATGCTCTTGATGCTCAAGTTTTATGGCGTGTCATTGTAAATTGAGGAACGCTAACAGTAAATAGTTGTGTACTCCTTGTTTAACAGATCTCCTCATCTGAAACGATTGGTTATGCCAGCATGGAACCGCATTTCAAGGGCGGGAATATGCCAAGCTATTGAAAGGTGGGAAGAGCTGGAGTCCTTGACTATGCCTACCATTGGTCATCCTCCATATATCATGGAGGGGTTAGCCAATAACTGCAAGAACTTTAAAGAGCTCAAGATCATGGGTTCATTTGATCTCCTATTTGCTTCAGCAGTTACCACATACCTTCCAAAGCTGAAAGTCTTGAGCCTTCGTTGCTCAAAGGTGACAATGGGTGCCTTGCAATGTGTTCTGAACTCGCTGGAGCATCTTGAGGTTCTGAATATTTCCCACTGCCTGCTGTTTGAGATGGCGACGAATGGGCGTAGGCAAGTGATTCATGAGCTAGATAACAAAGCTCTCGAGAGAGCTTCCCGGCTGCGGGAGTTCCACCACTGCCAAAGCAGACAATGTGTCGCATGCCAGCGGATGATGCTGGATGAAGGTATCTTGCGGTGGTATAGGTATGAGGACTGGTTTTGGCGACGGGATGAGGTGAGATCGCTTGATCTGAAAGATTATGGGAGGCTGTTTGGTGCACAGTGTGAGATGCTGACATCGGTGGATTAGATGCTAATCGGGAAATAAACCTGCCTCCTCATTTTAGAAGCTTGCTGATGATGAGCCAGTCATTCGTAAATCGTAGCAAAGCATCGGTAAGCTGTAACCCCAGAGAAATAATGGCAATAATAATGTGCATGCATGGTGGTGTGGATAGCTTATGTTGTAAATGGATGAATAGTCTGTCTTGTTTGAAGGTGTTGTTGCATATCTGTGGTGTTCAGAATGTAAAACTCAGAAACATATGCTTTGAAGTGGTGTTTGCATTGGACTTGGATTCATGGTTATCGTGTTTCTTTCATGCACGGGTTAGGCTATTTCCAGGCCCAGGTGGGCTGTGATGGAAATAACCCAGGTTGGCTATCTCCAAGCTGGTATTCATTCGGTGCCTTTATTCTTTCAAAAGAATTTCCTTCCAATTTCTTTGTTGTTTGAGCTATATTTCTGCTGTCAGGTAGCATGTCGTGATCTTCCTACCTGCTTGTCTGAGGCTACGACAGTGAAGGTGTTAATTTTTTTTTTTGGAGGAGTGAAGGTGTCAACATTAGTGTGATACTTCACCATTTCATAATGTCGATTTTTTGAAAAGTTAAACTTTGTAAACTTTGATCAAGTTTATAAAAAGGTATTCTTATCTACAATACAAAATATATAAAATATGAAACAACATCTTATGATGAATCTAGTGATATATGTTTGGTATTCTAGATTTAAATATTTTTCTTCATAAATTTGATCAAAGTTTGCAAGAGCTGACTTTTAAAAAAATCTATATGCACTGCATTATGAACAAAGGGAGTACTATCTTACACTTAAACGCAGTGGAAGTGTTGAACGCTCCTGTGATACTATCTTACACTGAAATGCGAAAAAATAAATGGAGGGTGCTATTTAAGAACGTCGTTGTGCTATTAGGCCCTCCCAATGCTCCACCTTGTACATGTGCTAAGGTTGTCATGTAGGCAAAAAGTCTGATGTGGCAAGGTAATTAAGAGGAGAGAGATGAGTATGGTGATCCGAGGAAGAAACAATGCTAAGCGCGAGAACCTAGGCAAAAGACTTAAATGGAAGAATTCCACTAATGCATGAAGAACTTTAGTTGCAAAACCATTAAATGAAGGATGCTTAGCACCAACAAGTTAAACACCTATGCATTGGGGGCTTTAGTTGCTAAAGTTTTTAATGTGCTTAGCACCTCATGTAAGCACCAATGCATTGTAAGTAGCCTCAATCAATAAACAACAAGTACACATCTTTTTCTAAGAGACTCTAATCTTCATAATCAATCATGTCAGTATAAAGAACACGAGAATTACAAAAATTATAATAAGATGCATGGACTATCTAGTGTGACGACTACAACATTGTAGTGAGTTAAAGGCGTGTCGCCGTCATCGGTTCTCCTTCACAGGAGCCGGGGAAACCTTAGACAGTCCAAAAATCTCCTTGTGATGGCCCCACAAGACCAATACACCCGAAAAATAATTCATCATCGATGAAGGCAGTCCCAGATCCAAAGGGTCAAATTTGTAAACACTCAAACGAAGACGAATTAATACCGACAGATCCATTAAAGACCAACACCGACCGGATCCCGCGAGACCGCACGGAGATACACTTACACGCCCTTGGAGAACGCTAGACACACCATTGGGATGGGTATCGAACGTGGGAGACATTGTTCCTAGAGGGACATCGTCGCCGCCACAACTCCAACCAAGAAGCTAGACCTAACAAGAGCGAGAGCAGGGGTCCCTCCCCCTTTGGGGGGGGAGGGGGGGTCCTCTGCACCTCCACGACCCAAAGGCCATCCGAGATGAGACGGATAGGCGACGACACCGAAGGTAGGAGAAGGAAAGCATGGGTCTTTTTGTGGGGGAGAAAAGAGACACGTAGTTGTCAAGTGTGCTACATAACTACAAGTACACTTTAGTTCTCTAAATAAGTAATAAGACATAGAAACATGCTGGCAGCACTACGTGTCGGCCGGGTGATAATCCAAGAAGATTGATTGCCTAGGGAGCCGCTGGATGGATTGCAAGACAGTCGTCCGATCTCTCCCGCGTTAGTCGCTGAGGTGTGCCAGCCTTTGCAACAATGCTAGTATTGTGCTCAGCTTTGAAACACAAGTCCTATTGCGCTCTTCACTGAACCGTTTTTCCTTTGTTTCACACTATGCGTTGACCTTCATCTCGTTGCAACACGTGCCATATTGCAATCACCATTGCAACATGGTCAATGTTGTGGTCACCTTCGCTTGCGTGAGGTGGGCCTTTTATCACCCACTGCAACATGGCTTGCGGTCACCCATTGTAATATGGACCATGTTGCAATCCCTCGCCGTTGCATTGTCGCCGTTGCACCATCGCCACCATTTGCGACGGGGTTTTCGGCAAAATCCGTGCGTGTCGCTGATACGTCTCCAACGTACCTATAATTTTTGATTGTTCCATGCTGTTATATTATCATTTTTGGATGTTTTACAATAATTTTATACCAACATTATATCATTTTTTGGGACGAACCTATTGACATAGTGCCCAGTGCCAGTTGTTGTTTTTTGCTTATTTTTTACTTCGCAGAAAATCAATACCAAACGGAGTCCAAACGCAGCGAAACTTTTTGGAGATTTTTTTGGACTAGAAGACACAAGATGAGCCAAAGAAATACCAGAGGGGTGCTCCGAGGGGGGGCACAACCCACCTAGGTGCGCCTGGGGCCAGACGCTCCCTGGTGGGTTGTGCCCACCTCGGTGGCCTCCCGCACCGCCTTTTCGCCCTATAAATACCCAAGTATTCCAGAAATCCTAGGGGAGTTATCGAAACACAATTCTAGCCGCCGCAAGTTCCAGAACCATGAGATCCAATCTAGACACCATCACGGAGGGGTTCATCATCCTCATTGGTGCCTCTCTGATGATGCATGAGTAGTTCATTGTAGACATATGGGTCCGTAGGCAGTAGCTAGATGGCTTCTTCTCTCTTTTGATTCTCAATACAATGATCTCTTGAAGATCTATTTGATGTAACTCTTTTTGCGGTGTGTTTGTTGGGATCCGATTAACTTTGAGTTTATGATCAGATCTATTTTATCCATGAAAGTTATTTGAGTTTTGATCTCTTATATGCATGATTACTTATAGCCTCATATTTCTTCTTCGAATCTTTGCTTTAGTTAGGCCGACTAGATCGATTTTTCTTGCCATGGGAAGAGGTGCTTTGTGATGGATTCGATCGTGCGGTGTTCTTTCCCAGTGACAGTAGGGCAACAAGACACGTATTGATCGTTGCTATTAAGGATAACAAGATGGGGTCTATTACTACATGAATAGATCTTGTCTACATCATGTCATCGTTCTTATTGCATTACTCCGTTACTCCATGAACTTAGTACACTAGATGCATGCTGGATAGCGGCCGATGTGTGGAGTAATAGTAGTATGCAGGCAGGAGTCGGTCTACTAATCTTGAACGTGATGCCTATATACATGATCATTGCCTTGGATATCGTCATGATTATTCACTTTTCTATCAATTTCCCAACAATAATTTGTTCACCCGTCGTATGCTATTTTCTTGAGAGAAGCTTCTAGTGAAAACAACGGCCCCCGGGTCTATTCTTTATCATATTTGCTTTGAGATCTATTTTTATATGCTTTTGTTTTTAGATCTATTATTCTAAAACCCCAAAAACACCTTGCTACACTTTTTCTTTATTTTTTTATCAAGAGATCCATTTATCCAAAATCATACAAATCAATCTATCATTTACCCGGGAGGGATTGACAACCCTCTTACGCGTCGGGTTGCAAGTATTTGTTCTTTGTGTGTAGGTACCGTTTACATAGTGTTGCTTGGTACTCCTACTGGTTCGATAACCTTGGTTTCATCACCGAGGGAAATACCTACCGTAGCTGTGCAGCAACATCCCTTCCTCTTCGGGGAAAAACCTGATGCGGACACGAGCCATCAAGAAAGGATATCTGGCGCTGTTGCCGGGGAGGCATCATCAACATCTATCAGGTTCCTAATCTCAAATCTCATCTCCTTGCAATTTACATTATTTGCCATTTGCCTCTCGTTTTCATCTCCCCCATTTCACAAAAATTTGTTATTTTATTCGCCCTCTTTTTCGTTAGCCGTTTTCTCGTCACATATGTTTTTGTGTGCAATCTTGTTTGCGTAGTCATGATGACTCAAGAAAACTCCAAGTTGTGTGATTTTTCCAATGCCAATAATAATGATTTTATTAGCACTCCGATTGCTCCTCCCGCCACTAGTGCCGAATCTTGTGATATTAAAGCCGCTTTGTTGAGTTTTGTTATGAAAGATCAATTTTCCGGCACTCCTAATGAGGATGCCGCGTCCCATCTAAACACCTTTATAGAATTATGCGATATGCAAAAGAAAAAAGATGTGGACAATGATATTGTGAAGTTGAAATTATCTTTGTTTTCTTCGCGAGATCGTGCAAATATTTGGTTTTCTTCTTTGCCTCACGATAGTATCGATTCTTGGGATAAGTGCAAAGATGCTTTATTAGTAAGTATTTTCCGCCCGAAAAATTATTTCCCTTAGGACACAAATCATGAATTTTAAGCAATTTGAGCATGAACATGTTGCGTAAACTTGGAAAAGAATGAAATTGATGCTAAGAAATTGTCATACTCATGGTTTAAATCTTTGGATGATCATACAAAAAATTTATGCGGGGTTGAATTTTGTTTCTAGAAATCTTTTAGTTTCCACCACGGGTGGTACTTTTATAGAAATTACTTTGGGTGAAGCTACTAAATTTCTAAACAATATTATGGAAAATTATTCACAATGGCATACCGAAAGAGCACCTACTAGTATGAAAATTAATTCGGTTGAAGAAATTAGTACTTTGAGTGAAAAAGTTGATGCTCTTATGAAATTGGTTGCTAATAAAAGTGGCCCTATTGATCTTGGTGATGTGCTTTTGTATACATTGATTGAGCAAAATAGTGATCCGTAGATTTGAAGTTT